GTACATTAGATCTCTGGAAGCAAATCATCTTTCATGAGTGAAGCTTTGTGCCCTTGGACCAACACCCCTCCTCTCCCTGAATTCAGGAATTCCTTTTTTTTTTTTTTTTTATTGTGGCACTCTCTCATTTTGCTAAAACACATCTTCTAGAAGCTTCCTAAGAAAGTGTTCATGGGAGGTAAAGATTTCAAGTCTTTGAATATCCAATCATGTCTCCATGCTACCACACTTGACTGATATTTTACCAGGCAATAAATCCTACCTACATTAAAAATAACTTCTCCAGAATTTTGAAGGCATTTTTCTTCTGCCTCTAGAACTGTAGGTGAAAAACCCAGTGCTACTGTGGTTTCTGTCTTTTGTCTATGGTTGATTTTCTTTTTCTGGCCGTTTTTAGAATCTTTCTGTATTTATGGACTTAATATCTCACAATCATATAGCTTATTTGGGTTATTTTTAATTCATTGTGCTGGGAATTCAGTAAGAATTTTCAGTTTGAAGACCAATATTGTATCTCAGATAATTTCATACCTCCATTTTCTTTTTTAAAATTTTTAAAAGTATTTATTTTTTAGTTATAGATGGACACAATATCCTTATTTTGTTTTTATGTGGTGCTGAGGATTGAACCCAGTGCCTCATGCATGGTAAACAAGCTCTCTACCTCTGAGCCATAATCCCATCCCCACCTCCATTTTCTTTAAAAATCAATTTTAGAACTTTATTCTAAATGTTAGACCTCCGAGATTGAGCCTAACTTTCTTATCTTTTTATTCTTGACTTTCATCTTTCTTTTTCTAAGATATTATTTCTAATTTATCTTACAACCCTCTACTGGATTCCAAAATATAATATATACTATTTTTTGCTTCTGGAGAGCTCTTTTTCTCTGATTTGCATAGCATTCTCTTCTTGTTTTGTGCATGTAATATCTGATCTTATTTCTTTGAAGATGTTAATCAGTTTTTTTTTAGCAGAGATTTTTTTTCTGAACTTGTAGATTTTATGTTTCCTCCAAGCTTTTATCTTTTTTTAGATTATTCCCCCTCCTCCTCTTGTTTATAGCAGGTTTCCTCAAGTAGCTGTTGAACTTTGGGTATGCATTCATATCTAAGTGCAGTACTCTGAGAGGCCGGTTAGAAGAGCTGGTGGAGGTAGCACTTTCTGATTGGTGAACTTCACTATTGGATGAAGAGTTGCAGCAGTGAATAGTTTCCAAATGTCACTGTGAGGATATCTTTCATGTAGAGCCATTTGTTTTCTTTAGGAAATAATCTTTCAGTCCCTTTTCAGAAGTAGTGGGAAGAAGACAGAGGACCCCAGATTTCCACTTAAACCACTTCTTCACCTTGTGTTTTGGGGCTTGCACCCTCTATGTACTATCCACTTTCTATCAAGAATAAATCTTTCCTGCAAGGAACAGGTTAGGGTGGTTGACTGACTTCCATGGAGAGAAGTAGGACCCTGCCCAGACTTCAAGCTAATTTCCAACTAGTGCCCATGTGCTTCCTACCTTCTTCCTAATTTGTTTTCAGTTTATTATCCACGTTTTTTGTCTTCCTAAAATATTTTGAAATCTTTCCTCTGCTTCCATCTCCTCTTGTGTTCTTGAGGGTTAGTAAATTTGGTTCCTTTTTTACTGTTATGTTAGTAAAAATTTGTTAAGGAAAAAAGACAGATATGTGTGATCAATCTGTCAGGTTGAACTGGAAGTCTAGCTGAATAATTTTACTCTGTAATGGGCAAATCTTCTTCTTCTTTTTTTTTTTTTTTAAAGAGAGAGAGAGGAGAGAGAGAGCGAGAGAATTTTTAATGTTTTATTGTTTAGTTCTCGGCGGACACAACATCTTTGTTGGTATGTGGTGCTGAGGATCGAACCCGGGCCGCACGCATGTCAGGCGAGCGCGCTACCGCTTGAGCCACATCCCCAGCCCAGGCAAATCTTCTTAATGCACTCCCAGATGTGATAAAAATCTGTATATCTTTAAATAATCCTAAGAAATAAAGAATTAATTAGTATCATATTTTATGAATTCTGAAACAGAACTGAGTGAATCTAGGAAATCAAAAGCATCACCCTTTTCTCCAGCTAACACTTTTGGAATATAAGCACTCTTGCCACTTAAGTATATTCCACATCAAGATGGCATACCTTTAAATAAAAACATTTTAAAATTAAAAACTAGGATTCTATTTTTGTCTGCATATGCCATGTGACTTTCCTGAGCACATGCAATTCAGGGTTTTTGTGATTTATTTTTAGAGGAGAACACTAAAGAATGGAACAACCACAGCTTGTTACTTTGGAACAATTCACACTGACTCATCTCTGCTCCTTGCGGAAATTACAGGTGAGTAGATGAAAGCAGAATTTATAGGCACATCAAGAGAAGACAGCCAGGCCATGCCTAGCAACAACGTATGCTTGGTGGCAGTCCTGCCTTTTAATTGCTAGAATTTGAGCATTGCATTGTTTTGAAGGTAATTAAGTATCTGTGTATAACCTTGGCCCTTGAATGGTGTTTTAATTATTTAAATAATTTTATTATTTTCTTATGCCTTCTGGTTCTAGAATAATGTTTATGGATCTCAATTTTGTGTATTAATTTGGGCTTTTCTAAGGGCAGTTTATTAACTTGAGCTGTAGCAACAGTTATTACGTCACAATCAACAGGCAGGTTTTGGCTGTTGGCTAGACTCAGGGCATGGTGTTAGATGAAACAGAAAATAATATCTGCCCTTGAAGAACCAGACAGAATATACCCATGGTTCTATTACTAAGTGGCCAGATGTTGTATGAAGCACTCTATATGGATGAATAACATCTGTATACAACCCTCTGAGATATGTATTGATGTTCTCTATGCACAGACGGATGAACTCCTGCTCAGAGAGGTTAAATAATTTGTCCAGATTTTCATGGTTAGTAAGTATAGCTGAGACTGGATTTAGGTTGATGATTCCAAATTTGTACCCAGCACACTGCCTGGCACACAGCAGGCACTCAGTAAATAATGTTGCTGATGTACTTATGACACTGCTGGTGGCCAAGGTAGTTTATGCCAGAGGCCTAATGAGTGACACTAAAAATAAATATTGCAGTTTTCAGAGGAAGCAGAGAGAGCCCAGGATTGGGTCATCTGGGAAGAGGCTTTTAAACTGGACTCTGGAGAGGAGACAAAATGGGGAAAGACTAAAGTGTTTGCCAGGGGGAGGAAATGAGATGGACAGGAGCAAGAGGACAGGAATGTCAATGGTGGGTGGATAAGAGGAAGCAGGAAATAGAAGAGTTCAATGGTGCAGAGGATTCTTTGCATGGTGGGAGGGTAGAGGAGCTGGGCAGATGGGATGGTTCAGATTGTGGAGGAGCTCAAATGTGCATCAAAGACTCAAAGATGGTTTTGAGACAGGTAGGTGAAATCATGAAAGTGGTATTTTTAAGCGAGATTAATCTAATGGCCAGGTATTAAAATAAATTACAGGGAAAAGAGACAGAAAGATTTTTGAAAGACTCCTATGATAGTAATAGAGACATTGTAAAAACAATTGTCCCTGTAGCTTCAACATTATAGTTGAAACAGAATGCTTCTTCTAGCACCTCTGATGAGGACTAGGTTCTTCAGTATAGCCTTGCTAGTAGCATTAGCTAGAAGACAATAATACTGGCATGGCTACAGTTAAGAAGAACAGCAGTATGGCCACTGAGTACCATATGCCAGTCACCTGATGCATGTTATTGTGTACATTTCTTAAAATCCTGCACATAGCTGGGTGCAGTGGGTCACATCTGAAATTCCAGTGAAACTTACAATCCTCCTGCCTCAATCTGCCAAAACCCTAGCACTCAAGTTTTTATCACTATACTGTACTGTGTATTACCTAGAAGAGGATCATAATATATATAGAGAGAGAGACTCAATCCTGAGGATGGTGATTCAGTAGGAGATAGGAGGCAGACTGTGAGTAGATGAAAAAGAAGAAAGAGAAAGAAGAAATGGAGGGTAGGCATTTTAAAGAGTATTGGAATGTTTCTCTGGGATATGAGGCTGTTTCCTCCTTTGAGATAAAATGAGAGCAAAGAAGCTATGTCATTAGTAAAAATATAGACAAAGTGTACATGCAAAAAGAAAAGCTGAGTAAGAAATACGAAACACCCAAGTATTACCTGGGCAGTCTGGGAGTGGGGATGTGGAATGAAAGGAAGAAACTTTACTACTGACGGAATATGGTAAGTGCTGTTGTTCTTAAGTGGCCTGATGACTGATGATCCTTTACATTCTGCGTGGTGTTTGTCAGACTGATTTTAATTTACATATGTTTTTTAAAAACTCAGAAAACGTACTCTTTGAAAAAGAAACATGCCTTCAGATTCTTTTCATGTGTGTTTCACAGATAAATTTGGGCAGCGAGCATTTGTGGGCAAAGTATGCATGGATTTGAATGATGCTGTTCCAGAATACAAGGAGACCACAGAGGAATCAATCAAGGAAACAGAGAGGTAACATGTCCATTTGTCTTGATTTGTCTTTTGGATGAGTCCTCTGCTGCACTGATGGAGTTCAAGATGGAGAGAAGAAACCAGACACTTAAGGACCCAGTTGGGATCTGTGTGATCCCAGTTGGGGTCAGAATGTTCTGCTTAATGCAGTGTCCACAGCTAGCCCACAGTGAACCTGCTCAATTATTTAGTAATTCTTAATGATTTATAAAGAGCATTCCTCTGAAGTGCTACACTGTTCCCCATAGAAATCTCCACGAGGCATCTGTCTTAGGTCAACTGAGTGTGGCACAAACTGAGTGACTTGCCCACACTCACTGCATCAGTTAACCTCCCAATAGTATAATGAAATGCCAGAGATGATAAACTTAAAAAAAAAGGTTTATCTGGGCTCAGTTTCTGGAGGTTCCAGTATCTGACTGAGTGGTTCCATGTCTTTGGGACTCTCATGAGGCAGCACATCCTGGCAGGGGTACGTGATGGAGAAAGTCACTTACCTCATGAGCCAGGAAGTAGAACCAGAAAGAGAAGACTGGCCTTAGTTCCACAATCCCTGCTCAGGGGCATGTCCCCAATGACCTGAGGACCTTCCTCAGGGTCCAACCTCCTCAAGGTTCCACCACTTCCCAACATTACCACCCTGGGGACCAAGCCTTCAACATATGGACCTTTGAGTGAGCTTCACCCAAACCATAGTAATCACATAGCTTTTAAGTGGCAGAGCCAACACTTAAAACCAGGGCCTATGACTCTGAATTTTGAGTTCTTTCTATGATGATGAGGATCCTACCTTGAATTCAATAAAAAATAATAATAATAATAATAACAAAAACAGAAGGCATATAAGAGCATTTGCTAAGGTATGTAGATATTTAAAAATTTTGGTGTAAGTGAGGAATCATTTATGGAATAAAATATGATAAAGGAAGTTACAAAAATGAGTTACATTTCTAGACAAAAGAACTTTTATTTAAAAAGTTATTTTAAAAAATAAAAAGAATGTGTGTTCCTTTGTACGGAACATGGAGAATCACTAAGTTCCACAACATAAAAGAAAAATATTCTCCATGACTAAACCACCTAAAGTTGCCAATACACTTATCCCCTATATTCTTGTAGTATTTTTCAAGTGTTCTATGCATCCCTCACTCTCATTTTGTCCTATCATAGAAAGAGAAAAGTAGTTCTTCTAGTTATATGGTGGAAACATTAAAATGAAATCGTGACATGATAAGTTATCTTCTGAAGGTGAAGTATAGATATATCGACTGAAATATTGATTCCTCTTCCTTTCTTGGTTCCCCGTCTGTGGGCTCACTGTATTACCTACAAAGGTTCTGAGGACCTTCAATGGTGACACATAATCAAAACAGAGAACATAGAAGGTACCAAGGCCTTCTCTGCTGCTCTTCTGAGCATATAATAGGGTTCATCAGAGATTATGAACTTCAGAAATATCTCCACCTCAAATAATACGATAGCATATGCAGACAGAATCATAAAATTTAGATATGTACTAAGAAAATGAAAGCTTATGTCCACATAAAGACTCATATGCAAATATTCATAGCAATTTTATTCATAGAAGCCAAATATGAAGCAGATTTCACAATGCATCACCATCAGTCTAGCAGAGGACTTCAAACACCTCGTCAATACCATGCACCAGTGTCAATCTAATTGAGTGAGTCCAGTGAGACACAGAACATTTCAGAATGCATAAAGTTAAGCAAGTTTTTAACCTACAGATACTTAGCAAGGGATAATAGAAGCCTAGAATTCTTGATAAGCTGGTCCCCAGGCTCAGGAGTAACCCAAGATGGGTGGCTTCATGTCTATATATGCCCCAAACTTCACTATAGCTGAGGGATTCTGATATTCTGCTCCATCTGGGGTTTTAAACCTGGGCGAAACTTGATACACTGGGCTAAAGAATTCCAGGACATCCTGCCTAGAACAAAAAAGCACAGAGCCTAGGTTTATCTCAGGATATAGAATTTTCAGCATATGCTTTCAACTATGACAACTACAAGCAAGAAAAGGGTAAGAGCCAGGTCACCAAGGCCATCTAGGAATTGTCATTCACCAATCAAAATGTCCATCAGTTGGTGAGTGGGTAAATAAAATGTGGCATATGGTAGAATATTATTCAGCCATAAAAGGAATGAGGTACTGATATATGCTACATCCTGGGTGAACTTTAAATATATTATGCAAAGAGAAAGAACCGAACACAAAAGGCCACATAGTATATGGTTTTATTTACGTGAAATGCATAGAAAATGCAAATCCATAGAGACAGAAAGTCTGGGGCTAGAGGTAGGAAAACCCATTAATTGCAAATGGGCCCAAGGAATCTAACTGGGGCAATGAGAATGTTTAAAAACTGGATTATGGCTGGATGTGGTGGCACACACCTGTAATCCCAGCAGCTTGGGAGGCTGAGGCAGGAGAATTGCAAATTCAAAGCCAATCTCAACAAAAGCAAGTCAGGGAAACCCTGTCTCTAAAAAAAAAAAAAAAAAAAAAATACAAAATAGATCTGGGAATGTGGCTCAGTGGTCAAGTGCCCCTGAGTTCAGTCCCCAGTACCCCCCACAAAAAAAAACCTGGATTATGATGATAGTTCCACAATTCAGTAAATATACTAACATTATTGAACAATGCACTTAAAACAGGTAAATTTTATGGTATGTAAATTATATTTTAGCAAAACAGGTTTTGAAAATAGAAATGTCTGTGAAATATGTATTTTCTAGCTCATATCCCTTAAAATAAGAGTTGAGCAGAAAGTGATTGGGTTTTTTTTTTCAAAGTAAACATATATTTGAAAAGGTTGCTTCTAAATTCACAAGGAATAATTTCTTTTGCAAAGACTTTGAAGGCTTAAAGTAGAGCATATTTTCAGAGATCCCAGCCACACATGATTTTCTCCTGTGGTACAATAGCGCTTCTATCGAAGCTTTTAGCATCCTTCCTCTCACTTTTCTTCCCTAATTCCACACAGTTGAAGCAAAAATTTTTTTTAAAGACTGAGAATACAATCTGTAGATATATCTCAAGATGTGTCAACACACTCTAGAGTCTTCATGTGATTTATAATAAAATTGGAAGACAAATTAATGCATTAGTTCCTCTTCCCGTTTGCCAAGATCTCTTTGTTGGTAACCTAACTAGATGAAACTGGCATATTCCTTAAAAAAAATTTTCATGTCAACATTTGTCTATAAAGTTATGTTTTAAAGCCTCCAGGAACTTGCTGTAGGACCACTAAGGTAAATCCCTTTGTAAAATGAAGGATTTTTGTTAAAATTTACTGCTTTTCTATCCTGTATTATGGATTAGTGCTTCTCCTGAAGATTGGGTTTGGTTTTAAGTATGTGTGGCCTGCTCATTAGATTAGTTTTGGTTGTAAGTAATTTTATTGCTTGAGATCGTGGGGTTTTTATCATTTCATCTCAATACGATTGAGAAATTCTACTGATCAAATAAGTATTTTTCTTGAATAATCTTCTGTAGCTTTTCCATAGTACCTTGAGTACTTGACAAGGAATTTCATCATATTATATTCAACATCTAAGAGACATAGAAGAAAATTCTTGGATATAAATATTTACCCCAAAATAACCTATCCTGATGCAAGTTTTTAGAAGCCCAACTTTGTTTCCATTCCCTGGGCCTCTCTCACTTTCAGTGTGTCCCCTGAAAAGGAAGACAGAGGGTGCTGCAAGCTCATGAAGGGGAGAAAGGTCCCACCTTCCCTTTAGCCCTGGGTGTGTGCTCAACTCCTTTATTCATTGTTGTAAACCTTAATTCATGTTTTATTTGGAAGAAAAAGTATACCAGAAGAAAGGAAATTATAGCTAGTAAACTTTTCCAGCCAGAGCAGAAGGAGCTATTCCGTAGGCTTTATTTACACTTGTCACCATGTGTCCCATTCACTGCATGCTTTATAGCCACCTCTGGTCTATTTCTTACTCCAATATCCACTCTCCCCCAACAAGACTGTGCCCTTGGGAATAAATGGTGATATCATGTGAGTGAGTAGCTTCCACTTTAGAGGAATTAGCAGTGGAGAATCCCATAGCTTCTAAATGCTTCCAGGTGCACAGGACGCCATGCTGGTAATATCCATGGAGCACAACATATTGCAATATTCCCCCACACAGAGTTGGAGCTGGTAGAACAGCTTGAGTGCTATGGGAATACTCATGAGCAGCCCAACTGATGCTAGATGATAACATCACATTTCCCTGTGATTTTGCCTCCCATCTTTGGCTGCAAATGAGAGAGCAGAGTAATTACTACTTATTAATCTTTAATTGGTGGTGGTGAAACATGTGCAGCATTAGAAATGTTTGCATGGAAATTAGGACATGTAAGGATCTTGTTTTCACCCTTTTAAAACATTTATTTGAAAATGCTTAAATTTTTCTAAATTCCCATTTGTTACTTCATTTCAGATTTGTGTCAGAAATGCTTCAAAGGAATGTAAGTAAAAGTGTTCACAGCTTGAGTTTGAATTACCTTTCTATTCATCTTTATTAAATTGTTTGATAGATTTTGGTCCATGTGCATTTGGTTTATTCCAAGCATAAAGAAGTATTTCCTTACAACCTTAAATTGTTGTCACAGAGGATCTGTCAATCCAACTCATTGAGGTCAAGCATTTTTAAGATTTTAAAATATTTTTAAAATTTTAAAACAGTTGAAAATGAAGACTGCACATATTTAAAGTGCACAATGTGATGGTTTGATATGTGCATACAATTGTTTAATGATGTTCACAATCAAATTAATTAACACATCCATTATCACCTGACCTGTACGGTAGATCCAAGAAACTGTTCATCTTATAACTGAAAACTTGTACCCTTTGAACTTTATCTCCTGCTTCTGGATATATATGTAAAGGAAATATAATCAGTATGTTAAAGAGATATCTGTACCCCCATTTTATTACAGTGTTATTACTATAGTCAAGATACGGAAAGAACCTAAGTGTCCATGGATCAATGAGTGTATAAAAATGCAATACGACTTATATGTGTGTATGCACACACACCCACACACACACACACACACACACACACTCACTATATTCAGTGATTAAAAAGTAAAAGAATTCTGCCATTTGGTTCAGAATAGATAAATATGTAGAATGTTATATTAAGTGGAATGTGGCAGATCCAGAAAGATAGATACCACATGAACTCATTTATTTGTGAAATCCAAGAAGTTGAATTCTTAGAAACAAAATTTGGGCATTTTTTTTTTTTTTTTGCTTTTTACTGAAGGCTTATGCAACACTTCTCAACACTGTGTTTTGTTTAAGACACAATTTTGAAATCAGAATCTGTTAACTGATTTTAGTGGGATTAATTGATTGCTATTCAGATATGTGAAAGTGTGAAGTTTGCTTCATTCTTACAATTGCATGTACTTTTCTTGGCTCCCAAAGCCCTTGCTTACGTGCAACAGAAAAACTACATTTAGTAAGCTGGGTAAATTCCATCCTATGTCCCCTAAGCTTTTAGTGGACCTCAAGTATGAAAATCTCAGTCACTGCCCAGTTGAGAGTCACCATCTCAAGGCAACTTTCCCATTCTTGGTGGTTTTCCTTCTCCTCTGGGACCTTTCACTTTCACAGGACTGGTCTCTCGAAATGGGGGAGAGGATTTCATGATACGGGCAGATGAGTAGAACCTGGAAGCTATGGGACTGTTTGGTGGCTACCTCACTACTACTTCTGGTCACTTGCACACCCTGGTCTGGTCTAAAAAGCAACCATTGTTCAGCCCCAGTGCCCTGGCCACTGCTGCCTTCTTCTCTGTGTGACCAGTCAGCGAGGCACCCCCTTTGCAGTGCCCTGGCCTTGGTGAACCCAGGCAGACAATGCTACTTCCTGCCTCTACCGCAGCAGGTCGGTTCATGGCTCCAGGGGATAATTTCTTAGACTGGCAAGCCTGGCCCTTCCCTTACTATATTTTATGATCTCAATGGAACACATAGGATTCCTCAGAGTTTCTTCCAATTTAACCTTGGGAGTCTTAGGTGGAACTTTGTAGATCCTTATCCCCACCAACACTCTATGAGTGCTTCTCTCTCTCCCAGCCTTTTTCTTCTGGTGGCACCAGGGCTGCTCCTGCCTGAGAATAGTTCTCAGGGAGCTTGGAGCCAGCACATTCCTCAAGATGTCGAAAGAGGAATAGGCTGGGGGCACACTTGCCGTCTCCCTAGTACTCTCCTTTAAAGAACTTCTCTTTCTGCCTCCAATGCTCTTCATAAAGGTCATTCACTCTAGACTTCATCTTTGCACATTGATGTGAGGAAAGGAGAAGAGAGGGGAGGGGAAGAGATGGGAAGGGAGAAGAGGAGTGTCTGTCATTTGGGACAGAGTCCTCTTCTTCTGAACTTGGTGCTGAAGAGCATACTGTAGTCTCAATGGTGAGATGTTTCCATGAAACCCAGCGCCTCCACCAACTTTTAGAATCAGGGTCTGTCCTCAAAAATGAAGTCAAGTCACCTTGCTATCAAATATGCATTTTCAAATATGCTACATGTTTATAATATCCATATTTTCCTTATCAATTTTTTTTTCTTGTCATTTCCAGTATGTTAGAGTGAAGCCCATAGTGACACCACGTTTTTCCCTTTCCTGCTCTGAGACTTTGATGGGTGAACTTGGCAACATCGCTAAAACCCATGATTTGCACATTCAGGTAGGTATCTTTTGTTTGTGCCTCTGTCCTGACCAGCAAGGTTTTTCAGTACTCTAAATCATAATTTCTATTTTTTTTCTACTGAGATCTCCTAGAGTCAAGTCATATCAGGGCAGGAAATGCCCTTACAGAATGTCACCTAATCCACTTCTTTAATTTTGCAAGTAAGAAGCCTGAAGTTCCTTTTATTCCCAATGTTCTTCCATCAGTCTTCAAGAGACAAACACATCTTGATAAGGACGATCAATGACAAACTGGTTACTTATTCTCTGTAGAATACACAAAATTTAATGCCTTTATTTCCTACTTCTCTTTTATTTGATACTTTCTCAGTGTTCCATATCTTCATTCTTGGAGGAACCAGCTATTATTTGAAAACCAAAAAGAACCTAATTTCCACTTTACAAAAATGCATTTAAAAGCCCTTTTGTTCTTAGTTTCTAATTTAAAATCAGGAACAAAAAAAAGTAAATCTTACTTTGTCATTAAGTTGTTGCAATTTAGGAATAACACTTTTAAAACCTAACAGCTGGGTTAAAATTGGGAGCTTCCCCTCCCCCATTCAGACTTAATTACACGCTACACTAAAATTTCTCCTCTTAAGAATTGACTATCTTATAGGAAAGGTCAAGTTGGGCAAAGGCAATACATTGATTCTTTGCCATTTTAGGTTTTTTTTTTTTTAAAGATCTATCTTAAGTCCCATTAACTAGTCTCATCTTCCCCATTATTAATACTATTATTATTTGTGATCTATAAGAATTGAGTTTTGGATTCAATCTCACATAATAATCTCCTGGAGACATAACATTCAAAATTTAGATGATGTTTCTACGTTAGAAACAGAATACTTCTCTTTCTCAAAGAATAAAATACAAATGACATTTAAAATTATATGAAAAAAATTAAATGAGAAAAACTCACATTTTTCAAAATGACCTGTATCGTCTGGTTGTCCTTTCTTCTTTTCCTATGCCAATGTATTTTATTTGTCTGTTTCCTCAAGAATGGGAATAGATCTCTCTCTCTAAGTAGAATAGCTATTTTAGAAAATCATTTTAAAAATTGTCTGGCTATGTATATTCTACCTTACACACAGAGAGCAATGACATTGCATTTTCTCATGAGTTATTTCCTATAATATATACTTATAACCAATTGATGTGAAATGATTGTTGTTTTAGGCTTGGGACTGGGGTGGTTACTCTACAGTCTAGCATCTTAAGACTTTTGTGGTACCTTGGAGAAGAATTGGTGTGGGAGTCCCAGACTCACTTGTTTTGCTTGCTTTGAATTCTTATTGACTTATTCTCTATGACTGCAGGATTGTCCAGCTCAGTTATTTCCAAACTGTTTTCTGCTGCAGAACTCATTCAGAAAGCCAACAAAGGAGACAGATTGGAGTCAGGGTCCCAGGGTCCCAATGCTGCTTCGTTCTGAACCTGTTTATGCCTTCCACATAATGGATTGCTATGGATTGTCAAACATAAAACCTGACTAAAATATTCACAGCTAAAAGAATTTGGAAAATCACTTATCTAGAGTTTTTCCTTAAGAGACGAGAAAATAGAGACTCAAAGAAAAGAAGGCTTGCCGTAAGACACATAATCAGGGTCAGAAGTTGGGCTAAAACTCAACTCTCAATTTTCCTATGAGTGAACCATGCTGTTGAACTCTTGCTTAAAAGTCAACACCAGAAGAGAAAAATTAGTATAAGCAGCAAGGATCTTGACTGTCTTAAAGGAGATCTTTGCATTTTTTTCTTGCTACAGTTTGGAATTTGAAAAGACTTGGTTGGAAAAATTTGCCTTGAGATGACACATGTGCATGCACAAACACATACACACACACACACACACCATGTTCATGCTATTCCATTTGTCCTATATTGGTGTATATGATGCATATAATTGTTTTAAATAAAGCTCATGCACAGTCTTTGTTGTCCATTGATAAGGTTCCTTATACAGCAAGTAGAAACCAGCACACCATTTTGAGGCAGGAAATAGAATTTCTATTATTTTTCTGGAAAAAAATGAAAATATTATTTTTTTTTCTTTTAGAGCCATATAAGTGAAAATTGTGATGAAGTTGAAGCTGTGAAAAACTTATATCCCAATTATAAACACTACACAGATGTTTATGATAGAAACAATCTTCTGACAAATAAGGTAAATGCTGTATTATGATGCAATCTAAGTAAATGCACACATTTACCAAACCAGAGTAAAGCCCAATGTTTGTGTGTCTGTGTATAGCTAAATATGGACATGAAGCTGCCTCTCAGTAGATAAATTTAAAGGCTTTGTTTGAGGGTGGGAATGTCATTGGTCCAAGGACACTTGGACAGCTCCATTAGGATGTAAATGTGCCTTTCTTTAAGTCAGCAGATGCATTTCTAAGGATCCTTTGTGTAAGAAATATGAATAGGGATATTAAATTACATATGAAAGTTTTAAAAGGGGTATCAGGAGGGCATTGGTTGCATTATAGAACATATATAATTAGAATTTTGTTCAACATCCACAAAGAATGAAGTGTCCAGGCTTACAAGGAAGAATGTGCAATCCAGTTTGATGCATGTGCGTGTATTAAGGAATACATTCTCACCTGCAAAAAACTAGCTGGAAGACACATATTGAATGTTGAAAATGATTCTTCCTGAGGGAGAAAGCAGAGCTTTCTACTTGTTATTTTAAAGTTCTGAGATTTGAAAAAAATGAGTATGTATTAATTTAATAATTAATTAAAGTTAATATGAGTGACTAGAGACCTCATTACAATAATAAACCCTTTGGCCTTGACCTTCAAGCAAATATACAAACTGCAGGTAGATTTTATTGCAGCAAATAATTTCTTTGTTACTATGTGAATGGAGATGATTCAAAAGGTTAACACTCTGCATAAATCATGTAAATGCTATATCATAATTTTCATCCTTCTTTACATATATTTCCTTATAATTAATAAATTAAACTTCAATTTGCATGTTAATTTTATTTGCACAGAGGTTGAGAAAGTTTTATTTAAATTATAAGTCTGTGGTCACTGTACCATGCCTCCCAAAGGAGAAAGATATTTAGATATAGGTTTTATACTGGGGAAAAATATAATCTTGAGAGTAAAGTCTTTCAAGAAAACACACAAATATTACCAAGACTGAAAATCGAAAGATATTTCATATGTGTTTGGTACCTGCTTTCTTGGACCAATTTTGCCTTCTGAATTAATGCTTATTAGATAGTACATTCCCTAATTTTTATGAAAAATGTAAAATGGGTGAGTTAAAAATTATTTGATGGTATCAAGATAGTTGCCTATATTAAAACTGAAAAGAAATAAAGAACAATTTTTTGCAGGGTAACTTTCACAGCTTTCATGTGCTGAGGAGGGAAAACTTCTAGAAAGTTCTGGTGAATATAGCTCTATAGGTAGCTCACCACATAGACTTAGAAAAGAAAGCAACAGTTTGACAATTTTCTAAAGTAGAAATAATAGAATCATAATTCCTCAAATTGGTTGGACACTCTATGCTGTAGATCATCTCTATAAACCCTCATTATTTTATGGATCAACCAAAAGAAATGCAAGTGAAATTCATGAATTTGCGGAGACTTTTGCATTACAATGTTTTACAGGCCTTTTCTGAAGTCTAAGATTTATACCTAGGGATTTTGTACAGTTGCAACTGTTCTTATAAAGATGGTGACCACCAGTCAAAGCTTCTATTTCTCCCTATACTATCTTGTTTTGCGTCAGTACTGATGTAAGCATTTTTGAATGATAAACTCCATGTAGGACAATCTTCTCTCCAGACAGTGATGGCGCATGGCTGCTACCTTTCTGCAGAAGAACTTAACATCTTCAATGAACGAGGAGCGTCCATCTCACATTGTCCCAATTCTAATTTATCGTGAGTAGGCAATAATTGCTTGCAAGATTATGAATGTGCATGTTGCATTTTGGCAGTCAGAAGCCTTTGTTCTCTCAGTCATTCATTCCTCCAGGATCTGTCTTATATTTATGTTTTAGTGGGACAGGAACTAGACAAATGGACATTTGCCTATATTGTAGTGGAGGAAAAGAAGAATATATAAAAGAGGACTTTTTTTTTTTTGCAGAGAATGCATTTGAAAACACATCTCCTAAAATCTCTGAAATGTGCATAAAAAATGAATAATGAGAAATACAACAGAAATTCAGGATTTAGAGCCGGGGACTGTAAGAATGCACATGGCAGTCAGTGTCCCAGGGAGGCAGTGTTGACACATTTTGGAGCTCTGGAGTCAGGAGGAAGTGCAGTGCAGTAGAAGCCAATGTTCCACAGTGTGCTGGATCTGACAGGGTACTGGCTCACATAGGGCAGCCCAGGAGGGACCTTTTCCTTTTGTCATTCCCTAGAATACAAAACATTTTTATAACATGGTCTTAACCTTTTGAAAGATTATGAATTCATAAGTGATTCAGATGACTTCTGGCTTGTATCTCTGGGGAAAAAAAACATAAACATAAAAATGTTGCATCCATTTTCAGTAAATTAATAGATCCCATGATGGGGACCAATAGATACTAGGTTAAAAATTCATGCTTGCACAAGTTTTTTAAAGAAGTGATCTTAGAGAGTACCATTATAGAAGTAATACAAGAGGAAGTCAGTAAGGAATGCATCATCAAGCGAGTTATCACTATGGATTCCTGAAGTTTAATTCTTTGAGAAATCTCAGGGAGTGAGTATATAAACAATAGTGATTAGGAGAGGGCTGTTGATGGGGGTGAAGAACCATTAAGTCCCTGGAACTTCTGACCATCCCCAAACAAGGGCAGAGAGGACTTTACTAGTAGGAGAAGTTCCTTGGCAAGGGTTGGAGTTGTTGACAGTTGGAAGCTTAGGGACTTCGCAAATGGCACAAGTATGTGTCAGTGGCAGTATGTGAAGGGGACTTAGAGCCACAGGACATTTTTCTGGACTGTTTTGAGGAGTTTTAAGATATAGTCACATGGTAGGGAATCTTCCCTCTGTAACCTAAATTATGGTCTAGTGACCCCATGTGAGAAGAATTACCATCCCGTGTTTGAATGCACAACATACTCTAAATGAAAACTCATCCAGTTTTGCAAATTGGGATGTGAAGTTAAATTTCTGAAGGAAACATTTTTGCTTAAATACCACTCTCCAAAAAATTTGAGAGGTTTATTGTGTGTTTACTGGAGTTTTGGAATGTGCATTTTTGAGCAGACTAGTTTGGCCTTTGCATCTTCTTGGACTTCTAAGGATGTGCTTTAGTTTCTCTTATTAGACAGGCAGCACATCTATTAAGCTCAGAGTCATGAGGTCCACAATTCAGCCCAGAAATTGTCTCTCCTAGTTGCTGCACCCTCAGAGGCAGCATTTGAAATTTCAGACCCAGATTCACCAGACTGCATCCCTTTTCTAGTTGTTCCCACCTGTCATTTATCTTGAGAGTGAAGGAGAGTAATGGGGTAATACTTTTTCTCACCTATCATATCCGACCCTCCATAACAAAAGAGAGACAAATTTAACAAATTTATTTAACCAAAGTTTTACATGCATGGAAGGTTTTAGAATAAAAAAATAAAAAGATATAGAGAACTTTCTCTATTTTTATGCTTTGATTTGATGAAGCACAGACAGCCATTTAGGAACATAATTGGACAAAAAGGATTTGATCTAATGCTAAGAGGCTGAGTGGGAAACCCAGTGAGCTCTGCTGGGCAGGTTCTTCTTGGCTTCTCTGTGTAGTATTTTTTCCCTCCCAAGTATGGGGCAGGATCCTTTCTGAAGTGAGGGTCTTATGACCTTCTATCGAACAAAGCAGGTCAGACAATTTCTCCATGGCCAGCTTCAAAAGAGAAAATCAGGGGAAGAGTAATATTTCTAGGCTTTATGGCTTACTTTGAAGAACGGGGGTTCTAGCTTCTGATTCACTTTTGGAAAGAGAAATTTTAGTTTCTGTTTTAGTGCCAGGGATCCAATGATTTACACCCTCTAGGCCTAAGAAATTCTAGTTTCTATGGATTGTCTTGTGGAAAAGAAAGGGGTCAGGATTAGGTCAGAGGAAGATTTTGATTTTTGAGGTTGCTTCTTTGGGGTCTTGTTTTCTGAGGCTTAATATGAATCACTGCTTATTCAGGGTTACAAATTGTTCTGCAAGTAGAGGAAGGGCAGTGCTTTATAATTTCTATTTCCTAATATAGATGAGTGGGTCAGTTAAAAAATACTTAAGAGCCAATTGCAGGGGTGCACACCTTTAATCCCAGAGAGCTGAGAAACTAAGGCAGGAAGATGGCAAGTTTGAGGCCACCCTTGGCAATTTTGTGAAGCCCTTTCTCAAAATAAAAACTAAAAAAGGGCTAGAGTATAGCTCAGAGGTAAAGTGCCACTGGGTTCAATCCTGAGCAATCCTTGTTCCCCGCCCCTCTCCCATCACCACCACCAAATTTAATATTGATAAGACTTTTGGACTCATTGTAAGGTTTAACTTCTTCATTTATTCTTTTCATATAAGTGATTCTCCACTTTCCCTTTATCTCTTGATGCTTTATATCTTCCTGAGATTAACTTCAGCTCTTGATGATGCTTTGTACTCCAGGACTCAGATGGCCTGGTTTGACTGTGTATTTGTGTCAGCCTGAGAGATGATCCGGTGGGAAACGCCATTTTCAG